TGGTTTACCTGGGGGTCCTGAGCCACAGCGGAGAGTCTAGAACTGTGATTTATGGTGGGCGTTTTCTTTGGGCCATGCTTTGTCCGTTCAGCCACCAGAGAGGCTACAGACTGAGGTCAGCCATGGGCAATCAACCAGGTCTATGTGACCCAGACCCCAAAAAACTCTGGACCCCAAGGCTCAGGTGAGCTTCCGTGGTCGGCAAAATTTTATGTGTGTAATCCACATCACAGCCAGGAAAAGCCCGTGATTCCACCGGGGGAGATCATCTGGGAGCTTCACGCCTGGAACTCTCCTGCGCTCTGCCCCGTACACCTCCTCCCATGGCTGATTTTAATGCTTCCGTCCGCTGTAATAAACTATGACCCTGAGTAGAACAGCTTTCAGCCTGTTCCGGGGTCCTTCTCGGGAGCTGTCAAGCCTGAGTGAGGGTGTAGCCGATGGATCTTCAGTATTGTGAGAGGTTTCTGGCTTCTTTTCCACCCCTGCACCTGGGGAAGAGCAGCCCCAAACCCGTGAAGAAGCGGCATTTGCAAAAACTGATACATTGGACTTCATCCAAAAGGGACGATGCTGGGCTTCGCTGGTGGCGCAATGGTTGAGAGTCCGCCTGCCGATGCAGGGGACGCGGGTTCGTGCCCCGGTCCGGGAAGATCCCACATGCCGCGGAGCGGCTGGGCCCATGAGCCATGGCCGCTGGGCCTGCGCATCCGGAGCCTGTGCCCCGCAACCGGAGAGGCCACAGCAGTGAGAGGCCCACGTACCGCAAAAAAACAAACAAAAAAAAAGGGACGATGCTTATCATCTCCTCCCACTGCACTCATTTGAAACAAACAGAAGCATGATAAACATACCAGAGTCACAGTCCACCAACTGATTGAAGAGTAAGACACTTTCTGCGAAATGTTGTCACCAGAGTATCACTGAGAGGAACACCGCCTTCCCCAGACCAGGTGCCACGCCAGGAATGTTAGACAGCCACCGAGGATGAAATTCACAAGAGTCTGACATAACATGAGAAACACTTAAGCTGTAGTATTAAGAAAAAAGAAAATCAGGACTTAGGATCATATACAGAGCATAAGTCTGCATGTGTTTTATTAAACAGGGTGATAGGCATTGATGAAGTTAGAGATGGTGTGAGTGTCACAGCAGCCACCTTGAAGTATTTTGCTTTGTCCAGTGCTTTGTCCAGAATTGGTCCTTGGTTATGTAAGTGCAGGGTCAGGAGGCGCCCTTGCCAGGCACCCTGGTGTTTGTGTTGCAGGGGGTGGAGGGCAGTACTGAACTGCTCTTGGGCACCTTTCCAGAGGCCTCTCAGCCCACTGCTCTCTTCACCTCCGCAGCAACCAGCTCTGGGCGGGCTTTGCACTACCGGAGAGCTCTCACCCGCAGCTTGCAAGTGAACACCCCAAGGGACACCCTTGACCAATGGGGTCACGAGCTTCCCACTTTGTTTGTTGGGTGGACAGTTCTAAGACACATTCCACAGGTTTCTCAGAAGGTCTGCAGGATCAGGCAGTCAGCTGCCTCTTGCACCCTCCTACTCAAGAATGCATCTTTGTGGGCTTCCCTGGTGGCGCAGTGGCTAAGAATCCGCCTGCCAATGCAGGGGACATGGGTTCGAGCCCTGGTCCGGGAAGATCCCACATGACACGGAGCAACTAAGCCCGTGCACCACAACTACTGAGCCTGCGCCCTAGAGCCAATGAGCCACAACTACTGAGCCCGCGCACCTAGAGCCTGTGCTCCACAACAAGAGAAGCCAGCTCAGTGAGAAGCCCGTGCGCCGCAACGAGGAGTAGCCCCCGCTCACCGGAACTAGAGAAAGCCCGCGTGCAGTGCAGCCAATGATTAATTAATTAATTAATTTCTTAAAGAAAAGAATTCATCTTTGTGTTGGCTCTGCATCCCTCTGTGCTTCCCCTGGCCACACTCTGCTCCCTGTGGCCTCACCCCCAATGGCACTAAGACAGTGTTCGCTGAGAGTTGCCCCTCCCCGGGAGCACAGGGCTCTGGGTACAAGATGGACCAACTTGCATAAGGAACACAAGAGCCTCTAGGGAAGGAGGGTCTAGAACTCCAATGCCTGTACTCTAAGCTCCAAGTGTGGAAGTGTGGGTGACACCTAAGAGATGTTTTCCTAGTATGGAAGGCAGCAAAATATACCAAGCGGGGCTTCCCTGGTGGCGCAGTGGTTGAGAGTCCGCCTGCCGATGCAGGGGACGCGGGTTCGTGCCCCAGTCCGGGAAGATCCCACATGCCGCGGAGCGGCTGGGCCCGTGAGCCATGGCCACTGAGCCTGCGCATCCGGAGCCTGTGCTCCGCGACGGGAGAGGCCACAGCAGTGAGAGGCCCGCGTACCGCAAAAAAAAAAAAAAAAAAAAAAAAAAAAAAAAATATACCAAGCGTTCCCACTGGGAATACACAGGAGAGGGGGGACGCTGAGCGGATGGCCCAGACTCTACACAAGGATGCAGGGCTCACACGGGGAGGACTGGCTCTGTAAAGCAGCGTGAGCTATAACAGCAGGACCCTAGAGCACAGCTCCAAAAGATAATGTGCCTGGTGTCTGCTGGAGTTGAGACCAGTGGCAGAGACGAGAAGATCACAGGATCCCGCCACCCTGGTGCAGTGCTTGTGCATTAGGGATAGTAACTGACCCAGGAGGTGTAAATCAAAGGTCCCCTTAGATGTGACCTTGGAACCAAGCGTTGTGTCCTGGGCAGGGAACGGAGAGCGAAGACATCACAAGGATGGAGAAGCAGGACCATCCAGTCTCCATCAGCGACACCACATGGCAGCAGGAGGCAAACCAGTCCTCCGCTGACCACCCAATGTCCAGGCCCCCTGGTCTAGCGTTGACCCAGGACTGGTTGCCTTTGGATTAAGCAAGTCCCAAGTGTTCTGATCCTGTGAGGGGAGGGGGATGTCTCGAGACGGATGAGCTATCAGAGGGACCAAGAAGAAAACCAAAAACTGATGTCACCATATTTGTACTTCAAGAAGCAAGCCAAGAAGCCCACCAACATCTGGGCAGCAGCTCTTTTGGGGAATGGCCTACCAGAGCCTTATGCTCTCCTACTCGGCCATGGCATCTGTTCTGACCTGCCTTCCTCTGCACCTAGGCCTGCGGTGTCTGTAAGGATGGCTTGGGTTGCAAAAAAACAAAGAAACTCCCAACTCAAACTGGCTTAAAATAATGATGATTCATTATCTCACAATATCAGAAGCTCAATTCCGCCCACGTTGGCCCCTCCCTTCCACACTCCCAGGTAGGTTGCAGGGGGCCAATGCAGCCTTAACGAGGTGCAAAGTCCGCAGGAAGAAGGGGCATCTTCTCTCCCAAGCCTCCTTCTTGAGAGAGAGGAAACCTTTCTTCCCAGAAGCCTCCCCACCAAACTCCCTCACCTCTTGTTGGCCAGACTGGGTCATGCCTGCTCTAGAGCCAAAATGACCCCACTGTCCCCACCCCTGCAGCTGGATGGGGAGAAGGCTTGCGGGGAGGAAGTTTTGCCTTTCTTTTAAATAGAGCTAAGATGTCATTGTTCCTAGCTCAGAGAGACATAAACACAAAAATACCAAGAAAAATCTCCAGAAAAAGCCAGTTCTTAAGAGGTTTCCCCACCCCGCTCCCTCTCCTCTCTCTCCCCAGGGTTTCTCACACTTTTATTACCTGGAGATCTGTTTTCAATGTATCCTCTGGCTCAGTGGGTCTGGGGCCGGGCCTGCGTTTCTAACAAGCTCCCAAGTGATGCTGGAGCTGCTGACCTGGGATCACACTTCGAGTAACAAAGACTCAGACCATAAAAGGTATTTCACAGCATCACGGAGCAAGTGGTTTCCAGCTCAACCATGTCCACATGCTTGGTCAGTGCCTGTGATTCTCCTGGTCTCGAGATGGCTGCAATCCTCCAAGAGTGACCCCCAACAGAAGGCAGAAAGGGGCTTTTTCCTCACGTCTGTTCCTTTTACGAGGAAGGGAACAATTTCCCCAGAAGCCTCCAGAAGATGCCCCCTGATATCTCATTGGCAACCGCTCTTGCCTCATGGCCACCTGGGCTATAGGGAGCCTGGGGGAGTGAGCACCTGGTGAAAGAGAACGGGGGTTACCATGGCAGAGGTAACCAAGCAGGAAAGGGGAATGGCTGCTCGTGACCAGCCAGCAATGTCCACCACAGCCGTCTTTCAAATGCTCCAGGCCACCCCTATATGCTCTGTCTACCAGGGGTCAGTGGAAAGGGAGAGGGGTCATGCCAGGTTTCAACATGAGACAGGTAGTGGCAGCGACACGCAGGTGGGACACAGCACGGGTGCCCCACAGCCCAGACGGAACCCCAGCCCTCCCAGCCCGTCTCACCAGACAGCCTGGAGCCAGTGTGAACAACACACCCAGACTCCCCAGCTCCCTCTTCTCTGGGAGCAAACACATCATGTTTCCTGGTAACCTGGATACCGCATCAGGGATGTAAAGCCGAGAAGCGTATCCGCTGAGCCAGCTGCGAGCGGCGGTGCCCATTAAACTTGTCCCGCAGAGCCACGGGACGCTAAGTGTTGGGAACCGAGGTATCATTTTTTCCCAGAAGTCATATGCTGCCCCTTGGAAACAAGGGTTACCATGGTGATGTTTTCTACCTGGGCCTGCCTCGGGTGAGGTTGGAAATAAGACCCAGGTGTTTAAGCCAAACCAGTAAAGAGGCACAGAGCAGGGCCCCGTGGGCGGAGGGCTGGCGGGTTCCACAAGTCTCTCCTCTTGGTGTCCTGGTGGGTTTGGACCTTCTGGCTCACGTGGCGGTTCTTGGTGACACAAGAGGAGCCCAGCTTTGGAGTCAGGCAGACCTGGATTTAATCCTGCCTCGGCCACTGACCTGTGTGTGGCCTTGGGCGAGTTATTAAACTGTGTTGGCCTCAATTTCTTTGTCTTTATAATGGGGGAGGGCAGGGAATAGACCCCGATTTGCAGGATTGTTGGCATGTAAACGAGACTGTGTATTAGCAGCGCGGAGCCCGGCGCCTGGAGCGGAAGATGGCAGAGGACCAGCGTCTGGGCGCGCAGAGGCCACGGGCGCGGAGGGGGCGGTCTGATGTGACTCCCCTCCCGCCCAGGCAGGCAGGCAGACTCATGCCAACTGGCACGAGAATGAGATGAAGGTAAACGTGGAAGACGTTCTCAGTCTGCCGTGAGAATTCCTGTCCTGGCGACTAGAAATGTTCTAAGTGTGAGTGATCCGCGCTGCCGGGGAAGCCGGGCTCAGGACCAGCAGCCACGTGACCGGCTCTCCGTGAGAAACGCTGTGAGACACCCCGGGAGCCGACGGATCAGCCAGCACCCCTTCCCGTCCACAGGCAGGGCTGGCTGGGCATGTCCACGGGGCGTGGTGGTCGTGGAATCAGAAGGAGAGCCTTAGAACAGATGCTAAACGGCCCCACCTCACCATCGAGGTGCCTCATCCCTAGAACCAGGATCCTCCCAGAGTCCCGACCGCAAAGCCCCTGCACCTCCACCATCGGGATCCCACCCTCCCAGGCTCCCTGTACCCAGCTCATGTTGGAAGCCACAGTCCCAGCCAGAGGGCAGGGAGGACTGAAAGTCTGCAGCCTGGTCCTGGCCCTGGGAGGGTCCGCCCACATTTGCCCCAAGGCCTCCTCTTACACCCATCCCGTGACTGAGAAACCCTCATCCTGAGGTATTCAGACATTCCCAGGAACTCAACCTGGTGAAGGAGTTTCCAAGCCTGGGAATCACTTTCCAGCAAGTCTGCACATCTCTGATCTAAACACTCTTTATGTTGGTTTTAATAACAGCACCCAATGAACAGGCTTACTTCCCTCTTCTCCAAGTTCTCGGGAGATACCTCAAGGTCCATCTAATAAACATTTGTATATGTCAGTAGTTTCTCTCTTTCAGCTTCCAGCATTTAAAGCCAACACTGAATGTTTGGAGTGGGGACAGGGGAGCAGCAGTTCATGCTGCTCCGGAGCAGTGGATTAGACCGAGATTCCGACACTGGTGAGTCCAACACGGTGGGTAGGGCCTTCAGAACCACTGGATGAGCCGGGTCCTTCTTCCTGGAGCATCTGTTGTCTCCACAGTGAGTATCTCTATTTCTTAGGGCTGCCATAACAAAGTACCACAAACTGGGCATCTTAAACACAGACGTATATTTTCTCACAGCTCTGGAGGATGGAAGTTCAAAATCGAGGTGTTGGCAGGGCCATGCTCCCTCTGCAGGGTCGAGGGGAGGACCCTCCCCTGCCTCTCCCAGCGTCTGCTAGTTGTTGGCCTTCCTTGGCTTCCGTAGCTTGTAGATGCGTCACTCCAGTCTGCCTCCTTCATCACATGGCATTCTGCCCTCATGCGTCTATGTTTCTGTGTCTCTGCTCCTCTTATAAGAACACCAGTCATGTTGGATTCAGGGTCCACCCTACTCCAGTATGATCTCATGGAAATCTAATTACATCTGCAACAATCCCATGTCAAATAATATCACCTTCTCAGGGACTGGGGGGTCAGGACCTCAACATATCTTTCTGGATGACACAATTGAACAGTAACAGTGAGTAATTGAAAAACACTGTTTTTATGGTTAACCCAAGATGGATAAATGAGGGAATAAAATGTAAAATTTGCATGAGCTAAAATGAAGACCCTCATGCCTGCTGTAGGCTGGACCCCAGACATCCTTCGCCTTCCTCTGCTTTGGGGTGCGCTTAGGGAAAGAGCCCAAAAGCCGGAGTCTGGGGCCATAAGACCTCATTTTGTCACTTACCTTGGGCAGAAAATACGTAAACTGGCAGTCAGCAGGTGTGATGTGCTCACAAGCACGCGTGTGGGATGATTTGAGGGCAGACAAGCTTGCGGGTGTCCTTTCTGGGTTATTTGATTCCTAGGGGCCTGCACTTCTCATTTTCTTTGAGCTAGGTGACAGCTCTGTAAGTCGTAGAAAACTTAGAGAATGCAAATGATTTGTCTATGCGTGTGCTGATGAATTCTGTCCAGAGGAATGGCACTGACTGTGGCCCTGTGAATATCTGCCAGTTTTGCATCAATTTCTATATTTGTTCCAGCATCCCCAACTGCCCCTTCATGCATGCTCTTTGAATCTTCCTTTGAACTGGTTATAACATACTATTGGTTTCCTCATTAAATGGTGAGTTAAAGAAACTTAACCTATCCATTTCTTATTTTCTGAGATTCATGACCTTCACAAAATGATCTTTCTACAGGGGCAACAAGGTAAAGCATTTGAACGGACAAGCTCCCGGCAAGTTGAGAAATGTATGGTCACAGATGACGGCAGCCACGACCATAATGATCCTATCAAGATGTGATACCTCCAGGGAACTCTGTCGTATCCGGCATCATCTCAGAAGGATCTGCCAGCCGCTCAGGCTGAGTGATCAGCAAGGGACAAATCTTCAGGTGGCCGGCAGGCTGCGGGGAGGCCAGACGTCCCCTCGGGCCTCACAGACAGCTGGATTTCAGCTCCACGAAGTGCAGAGAGGTGAGGTTAGGTCTGAAAAATAAACAGGATCATAAAAACCTCCCCACTGGCAGTGTGGTCGGGCCCTGTGCGTGCCAACAGGCTGGAGCCAGGTTGCCGAGACATTGCTGACAGCCCTGGTGGGAGGAGGTCCAGGCCGAGGCCTTGGAGAGGTTGTCCAGCACCATGAATCCACCTGCCCATAAAGCACAGCCCGCCTTGGGCCTCCAGGGCTTCGCCTTCCTGCTTGTCTTCCCAGACAGAGGAGTCAGAGCCCCTGCTGCCCCACAGAGCAGAGGAGTCTGTGCCGCTGATGACCCGAGAAGGCATTTCTGTCTCAGGACTGAAGCGAGGGCAGGTCCTTCGGGGCATTCTAACTAAAGACACCCAGGGCCTTGGTCACCTGCTGCTACTCCCACCTGAGGCCATCCTGCAAGGCTCCACAGCTCAGGAGAGGATGTGCCAGGCCTGAAAGGTGAAAACGTCAAGAACTCTTCATCCATGACGTTGCACAAGGAGCCTAAGCTTGAGTGTGAGGCTGACCTGGGTTCGAATCCCAACTCTCTCCCTTGCCCGCTATGCGACTTCAAGGGAGATGCTTGATTCAACTTCCTCAGCTTATAATGGAGAATAACAATCGTGGGCACCTGGTGGGTTGTGGGATTACCTGAGAACATAGGAGACACGCCTGGTTCAGAGCAGACTCTACCTAAATATTGGTTCCCTGGCGGTTCCCTCCTGTAGGGTGGAAACAGAAGGTCCGACGTAGGCTCTCAAAGCACTAGGTTTTGCCACGTTATACTTCTGGCTCTGACACAGACTTACTCATGTCTGCTCTCTGGGTCTTTAAAATAAGGGGACCTGAACAAGGTATGGAATTCCAGCATTCCACCTTGCCATTTTTCAGGACATGGGAAAACTGAGTTGTTTTCTAAAGAATGACTGCAAAATTTCAACAAAAGCTGTCCCGACTCTTTTCCTCTTGACCCTCCCCAGAGAGACGGGAATGTCTGGGAGGGGCAGAGCAAGTCTAAGGAAGGCCCCTCAGAGTCATCTGCAGAATTTTCTAAATCCTCCACACCACTGCCCTCCAGAAAGCAGACAGAGTCTCGGCTGCATTTCCAACATTCTGCCTCCACAGGGAAGAAGCTGCAGCACTGCTTTCCCTCATTAAGATGCTCGGCCATTGTCAGACATCCCAGGCCAGAGAGTGGGCTCCGCAGAGCAGGTATGGGGATTCAGCTGCCCCGGAGAAGCCAGCTAGCCGCAGGTCAGTGTGGGCAGCTGGGCTTCTTATTCAAGGTGATGTAATTCGCTGGCCTGGAAAGTTCACTGCCTCCGTGAAGGAATCAGCCTCCCCGTTTCTGCCAGGGGATTAAAATATTCGGTGAAAAACATTGCTGAGAATCAAAGGGAACCAGTGCAAAACGTGTCCTGAAATAACTCCTGGGCTGCCCCTCTGACAACTCTTCACCCCGAGCTTCTGGTAGCAACATCAAGTTCAGGAAAGACCCAGGAGTGCAATTTCTTTCCCTCTCCTACAAAGACCATGCTTTTTCCGGAAGACATTTTCCCCCTTGACAACTATTCTAAGAATGCAAGGAGAGTCCTTCTTTTCTTCTAAAAATCATGCCTCCAGACTGGGAGCTGTGCTAACACGCCTGCACCAACAGCTGAGCCGAGTCGACAAGACGCCGCTGATGTGAAGATCTGAGAGCACAGAAGGGATGGATTTGGAACTGCAACCCCACCCCAAGGTCCCTCTCACGAGCTATTTCAAGTGCATTTGAAGTGATTCTGTTCATTGGAATCCATGCATCTCCCTGCCTCTGAGAAACTGGATAAATTCTGCACTGACCCTTGTTCCGAGGTCTGTAGACGTCCACGCGTCTGGTGGGGGGCCAGGAAGATGTTATGTTAATGTCCTCAAGGTCACCTCTGGCCCTCAAGTTATGGTCTGTGCCCCCTCCCATCTCCTCCCAAGCACACCCTCTGTTGCTCGGACCTGGACTCTGCAGTTTCTACACACACACACACACACACACACACATACGGCATGGTACCACTCATGTACGGCATTTGTGTGTTTCAAAATTTTTATGGGGCAATTGGAGTCAGGGAAGGAGCGCCTGGGCAGAGATTACTACCTGTTCACCACAATAGGCTCCCTTCCTCTGGGCACATAGACTACATATCCCACCTGCCCTTGCAGTGTAATTTGATCATGTGACCTGAGTTCTAGCCAATGGAAGGAGAGCAGAAGTGAACACGTCTCAGTCTAGGCATACAATAGAATATTTTCTGGCATTAAAAAGAAACGAAGTACTGACCCAAGCTGAACCTCAAAAACATTATGTCAGGATGAACCTCAAAAACATACTCAGTGAAAGACATAAGAGACCACATGGTTTTATGGTTTTACATACATGAAATGTTCAGAATAGGCAAATCTATAGAGATGAAAAGTAGATTATTGATTACCTACTGGGTAGGAACAGTAAATGGTTACAAGGGATCTTATGTGGGGTTAATGTGGAGGGGATAGTAAAAATGTTCTAAAGTTACTAAAAAATTACTGAATGATACATTCAATGAAATGGGCAAATTTTATGATATACAAAATATACCTCAATGAAGTTGTTAAAAAATAAATAGAAGAAGTGAGCATGCCATTTCCAGGACTGGTCTGTAAAAACCTCCCACATGTTTTGCTCCAGGCCCTTTCCCTTCACCCTGGCTGATTCAGACTGTGGTGGAGAAGAGACCGAGGAGCCTGGGTCCCTGAGTGACTCCGTGGAGTACAGCCACACCCACCATGCTCATCTGTGAGCAGGAAGTGAACTGCTCTATGTTGAACCACTACTTGTTTGAATTTTGTTGTTACAGTAATTCCCTTGCATGAATTTGTACAGACAGTTCCAGGGCAACCACCGTATTTCCATCTGAATGGCATTCTGGTTCTTTGGTAACTACCAACACTGGAGCTGTGTTTCTTCCAGAAGCCCTTCATTTTCCTCACATCTCACTGGGTCCTCTCTTCCACTTCACCCCTTCCCCAGTACCTCTTGAATTGCCTTCAGGAACTCCAGGTCCTTCTCTCTCAGTCATGTAGAGCATCCAAGTCAGTAGATGACCAAGCATGGCAGGTTGTTTCCAGGGCAACCAGGGGAGAGAAAAAGGAGGTGAGGAAATTATCCCTGTGAGTGCTGGGGGGTGGGGGCTGAGCCCTTTGTGGGGTGCGGGAAGGCGGGAAACTTATGGCGTCAGATTCTACCAAACTCTGCTGCCTTTTTCCCATCTCAAGCACCCAAGTGTTCCTGCATCTCCAGAACTGAGATGGCAAGAGGTTGGTAGGAATCAAAAACATTCTTTGAGTTGTAAAAGAGAAAAGATATTGAATGTTAGCATGGAAGAGATATCGAAACAAAGAGATACCTCCAAGCTACAAGGATCTGTGTACAGCATGTGGAATATAGCCAATATTTTATAATAATATAAATGGAATAGAACCTTTAAAAATTGTGACTCACTATCCTGTACGCCTGTAATTTATATAACGTACATCAACTGTACATCAACCAAAAAACATTTAAAAAAATGTCTCCAAGTGTGCATTTTATCTGCAATAAGCAAAACGATTTTTTCAAGCACCATTGAAACTGAAGGAGACAAATCCTGGAAAGTTTCTTGGGCAAAAGCAGTGACAAATGGGAGCTAATTTTACAGGCCTGTTGTTCACTGAAGGGATGGGTATTTTCTTTATTCGGCGTGCTGACGCTGTCGGGCTCTGACGCTGCGGAATCCACGCCCACATACAACACGCCTTCCTCTCCTTTCTGCCCGCACTGCCTCAGAGCGCGCCTCACCTAGATTACCAAGCCCTCTCTCTGCTGCTCCAGCCTCCTCGCTTGTCGCCTGCAGCCCACTCTCCACAGCCACGCTCACAGCCAGGCTGCTGTCCTCCTTACAGCCCTTTGGGCACTCCTGCAGTGGTGCAGTGCACAGCCCGCCCGTCTGTACCCTGTGGTCCTGGGTGTAACACAGAGAGACTTTCAAGCTCTTTGGGCCCCCAAATCTCTGTGACCTCACCTGTCACCGTGTGTGACAGGAACCTTCTATCTAACCACTTAGAATCCCCGACGGTGCAATGGTGTGCCTCTAGATCTTTCCGTACCCTGTTCCTTCTGCCTGGAACTCCTCCCACCTCCCTTCCTCGCCCAGGTATTTTTCATTCGCCCTTCAAAGCTCAAATCAGCACCCCGTCCTCCACAAGGGTGCCTCTGTCCCCCTCGCTCAGTCCTCTGTGCTCCTCGGGGCACGCTGGGGACTGTCCTGTGTGCTCCCTGAGGACAGCCATCGTGTTGGGAGGTGTGAGGTGAGGTCGGGGCCAACCCTGGAGGAGCCAGAAGTGGAGTCACAGATGGTTCCGCCTCAGTCAGGAGGAGGGCCAAGACGGAAATGCTGAGGGAGACTGAGGCCAGGACGAGGGCCCTGGGGCAGGCAGACTGAAAGGCAGTTCCGCACTGGGAAACCGGAATAAAGGTGACAGCTTATCGCCGAAAACACTCCCCGTCCCCTCCCCGCCACCACCACACCTCTCGTCTCCGCCCACACCTTTCCTGGACAACGCCCACCGAGCCCTGCTCACCCCAGGGCCTGCAGGTCACCTGGTAGAAGTGCCCTGGCAGGGGTCGGGGGTGGCAAGTGTTAATATGGGCAGGTCAATGCCGGCCTCTCTGTTGGCCAGTGGGAGACGGTGCAGGCCTAGGAGCTGACCCAGCGAGGTTGGTGTAAGAAAAGCAACAAGAACGGGGCCGAAAGAACCGAGGTTAAGCGCACAGCTCAATCCCCTTGAAGTGAGACGCGGACCCATCTCAGCCGGAGCCACAATATCCTCTCCTAGGACCCAGGGCGCTTGGCTCCCAGGCACTGGCAAGGAACATCTCAGAGAGAGCATCCCTGTTTACCTACGAGAGATAATAAGACCGCATAATCACGGAGATTCAAACACAGTCACAGAGATCACCCAAGAGCAATTCGGCTGGAACGATTACAGTTCTCCAGATGGGTCTTTGATACAAAAGGTAAGATCATTGGATTCTCTCTGAAGGGAGAGCTTGTTTCTTCTGTACCCACAGAGCAAATACCCACTTGAGAGGTCAGGACAGGAAGGCTCTGCAGGACAAGTAATAAAAACCCAGGGGATGTGGGAAGGGCTGCACAGAGAGAGCTGGCCAAGACAGTCGTGATAGCCCTTCCTTAGGGAGCCAGGCGCCTTGTTTTATTATTTTATTTTATTTTTTAATGGAATGGCTGAGTTAAAAGCTTTTGGTTCTATACTGGGTTTCTAAGTTGGGCTTGTTTTTTTTCTTTAAATGAGAAACAGATTACAATGAAGGCATTTTGTTATGTATATTAAATGCAGACACATCCAGAGAAAACAAATGAAAAGGCAGACATAACACAAGCTTGTGCATCAGTGATTCCATGCATATGCATTAGCTCATGGTCCCTTAAAATAAGCCAGTTTCTCCAGCCTTTCATTATGCAGAGAGGGGAGTATTTTCCAAACACTCTCACAATTAAGGGGAAATGGCCCTGGCAGAGCTCTCCCCTGACACAGCCCTTCATTACGTGCTCCTTTCCTCCCTGCCCACTCTCCTGTCTGTGTGAATTGACTAGTTCTACCCCTTTGGTATCTTGTTCCTCACCAGCTAGAAGGAAAAAATACTTATTATTTAAACAGGTCACAAATAAGCAGACGAATATACTGACTAAATGCAAGGGATGTGGAGTTAGAAAGCCCAGGTACAAATGTCTCTGCCACTTACTACTGGGCAAGTGACTTCACTTCTCTAGCCTCAGTTTTCTCATCTATAAAATGAGGATACGAATACGAGGATTAAATAGAATGATGCCTGAGCAGGGGTGCCTAGCATATAATATATAATTATATTTTATAAATTGTGCACACTGAGTGTATCAGTTACCCCAGAGAACTCAGTGTCTTGGGCTGAAAAGGGGTCTTAGAGATCATCTCTCCTTACAGGAGAGACTGACCTGGGGGGCAGGGGACTCACGAGGGCAGTTGGAAGCCAATTCTTATTGAGCACCTACTATGTGCCTAGCCCTACACTCAGCAGCTGGTCCTGGTGATTCTCCTCTTTCCAGCACTCTGTGCTCCAGGTAAAAGGCATGAGCCCAGACTTGCTCAGCTTTGCTCCTGCCCGTCAAGCCCTAGAAGGCATCCTGCAGCCACTACCCCCACACATCCCCATCCCCCCATCTGGGACACCCTGGCAAGTGACAGAACCCCACCATTATCATCACCAAAAAAAGGAATTTATCATAAAAATACAGGTTGGATTATGAACTCCAAGAACTAGAGAAAAGTCGGGCTTCTGGAAGAAACAAAACTAGGACTGGTGTGCCCTCGGGAACCCAGGACACCTCCAATTCCCTGGGTGCATCTGTGCCATTATCTACAAAGCACCAAGAATGGTACCAAATGCTTTACGTGTATTATCTTACCTGATCCTCCCACAACCCAGTGTTCACACTGGGAAACTGAGGCACAGAGCAGGTACTGGCTTGCCCAATCTCTCCAACCCAGCCATCAGGGAGCTGGATTCTGAACCACAGCCTGGCACCGTGTCACTCTGACTGGGCCAAGTGGGTCAGGTGCTCCCAGCACCGGACCTGTCAGCATGGCCTGGAGGCGGGGAGACACAAACAGCTGGAAGTGGCCCTAAGGACAGAGGGTACTTCTGTGAGGGAAGAGCCAGGAAGAGACACAACGTGACCCACTCCACTGTCACCCTCTGGTCATCCACTGAGACCCAGCAGAGAAAGCTGTCCTCCAGGGAAGCAGCCCTCTTCCCAGCCTGGAGCCACCGTCGTGCCCACTTTTAGGACAGTGCCTGGCACACAGCCACCCCCACGACTCCCATGGGGCCCTGAGTCCTATGTGAGGGTTTCCCTGGTGGTCTCACACCCGGCAGAGATGCCAAGAGGCCTGAGAGTGTCGGGTCGGACCCATCTCTGTCCCCAGAGACTGCACAAGCCTGTGCACAAGGGCTGCTCGGCACAGGAATGAATGAATGAATGAATGAATGAATGGTTCCCCCTCCATGTCTCCCTTCCCTCCACACATATCCCCAGTTTCTCTCTGTTCAAGCCCCAGTTTGACAGGGGCACAGCCAAAATTGGAGAAAGGGGGGCCAGCAGGCAGCATGGCTGCTCTGGGTAAGTCTGAGGCCCAAGCCGTACACCTGGCCCAGATATGAAGAGGGCGCCCTGATGAAGAAATCGGGGAGGGGCAGAAGGAGGGGCCGCAGCAATCTCCTTCCAGGAGGCCTTCAGATGCTCCTCTCCTTGTCTACCTCCCAGGGTTCTGCCCTACAAAGCAAGCCAGGGCCAAGCTCGGGGCCCCCCACTGGCCATCGACTCTTTCTCCAAGGACCAGGTGTTCACAGAGCCTTCCAGCCTGGCCTAGACCCCTGATCTCCAGCCAGCAGGAAGCAAGGCGACCCCCACCCACCCTTCACAGCCTCTGATCTGCAGCCCTCACCTCCTTCCTTGCCCTGGGTATGTTGAGTTAAGACAGGCACCTCCCAAAGGCATGGAAATTCTTTCTTCTTCTTTTTTCTTTAATGAAGCAAACCAGATGGAAAAGAGAAAACTTGAAGTGTTTTAAGAATAAAAACTTTATTGTTGTTGCTGTTAAAAGAAAACATGCTCATTAAAAAAAAAAAAAAATTCAAGCAATATAAAATGGACCAAAAGATCTCTTCAAAGTTAAGGGAGGAAAGGAGTATAAAAATTATAAGAACTCGAGGTTATTATATTTTGATATGATAGTATGTTTCATGTTTGACTTCCTGCTATGAAAGATGAGGGAAATTCCACCTTCCTCTCCCCTCCCCTTCAAATTCAGTTACTGGCATCACTGTTTACACGGGCCTCATCCAGGGTAGAATGAACCCTATGCTCACCACCAATCCTTTTAGGATGGTGTCTTGTTTCTGAGATCTGGAGTTTGATTCCTCAGCTTCTGTCAAAAAAGGCTTTTAGGAGCCGTGTGCTCATGCTTAATGATGTCTGTTGTCTTTACATCCCAGGGAGCGCTGGGTCACATTTCCTTACCCTTCCAACTCTGCAGATCCTGGACGCCATCCTCAGGCACTGGACGCTGTGGGGGAATTTTTGTCTTGTTTCGTTTGGCTTTGTTGTTTATAGGATTCTGCCTTTGTGTTCAGTAGCTAAACATGGTTATGATTCAGAATTGATCACTCTGTGCATTTTTTGTCTGGGATACAAGGACTTTGTTGAATAGAAGATTTGAGTCCTTCTTCTGGTGAGTTTACATCTCATATTTCCTTTCATTCTGTTCTCTTCTCTAGAAGCACCACCATCCTTCTCCTTCCATATAAATCATCTCCACAATCCTTTTGGCATCTTTGTGCAGGCTTGTTTTGCGTGGTTTTGTCAAACTTGTGTTTTCAGGTTTTTGTTGCTTTGAATGAGGTTTCCATCTCTGCAACGTTTTATTTTTCTTTCCCACTTGTTTCCTAA